CCCCCCCCCCCCCGCGCAAAAATGTGCTGGGCCCGCCCGGCATACAACCGGGGGACCCAACCGGCCGGGCCGCCCGGGACCCCTGCCGGATGGAGGCTGGGCCGCCGGGCGGCCCGGAATTTAACACAGCTATATAGTATAGGTTATATTTTCTATTTAGACTTTGCCTGTGAAAGATAGTGACGGTTTAGGAAAAGCGGGAAAACAGAACCTTCTGGTCCTGCTGCTAATCTTGCCCGTAGAGCTGTAGAGCGCACAGCTCGTTCCCTCCGCCAGCGAGTCATAAAAGTACATGAAGAAGAACCTCCGATCCTTTCCCCCGGTTGTGCCCCGGGACACTCTGACGGTATTAACTGTTTGAGTTTTTTTCTCAAAGGAGAGAATTGAGATTGTCAGTGTAGCCATTTGTATAAACTTAAACTTGCTATAAAAAAATCTGACCCTATTCGAAGAACGCTCCGACAGCACTAATTGCTTACCGAAAAAGTCATAATAGTCGATTACCTGTCATTGTAGCCATTTGCATATAGAAATCTCAGATCAGCCCCTTCTGAGGATTTTTTTTTTTTTGTAAGTTTTTGATAAAATTTTGCCCCACATAGGATTACCTGTCAGTGTAGCCATTTTTGTATAGAGAAATCTGACCCTTTTGAGGACTTTGTTTTTGAGAAATTTTGACCCTTTGTTCCTTTTTGAGCTCTTTCTTCATGGAGGGAGTAAAGATGATGGTGACAATCTAGCAATGATGCCTCCCACTGGAAACCCTAAACCGTAATAGACGAGAAACTGAGCAGTAGTTCTGAACCACTGCAGGCTTTTCAGACGGCTTGGTTTGGTCTATCGGGACACAGATTTCCTTGTTGTCTTCGAATTCCAATCCTAATTATGATTCTTCTTTCTTATTCTTCTTATGCTAAGTCCTATTCTAATTCCTATTCTAATTCCTATTTCAAATTCTTCTAACTCTTCTTCAATTCGAGTTCTAATTCCAATTCAGACAATTATTTTTCTAATTGACTAAGTCTTCTTTTGCTTCTTTTCTTCTTCTTCTTCTTCTTCTTCTTCTTCTTCTTCTTCTTCCTCTTCTTCTTCCTTCTTCTTCTTCTTCTTCTTCTTCTTCTTCTTCTTCTTCTTCTTCTTCTTCCTCTTCTCTTCCTCCTCCTCCTGCTTCCTCTTCTTCTTTTTCTTCATCTTCTCCTCCTCCTCCTCCTGGTCCTGCTTCCACTTCTTGTTTTTTCTTCATCTCCTCCTCCTCCTCCTCCTCCTCCTCCTCCTCCTCCTCCTCCCTTCTGCTGAGTGCTTATGTATTTATCTATAATACTTCTATATTCATATATCTATATAGAAAGAGAAAAACATATGTAATTCCCCCTTGTTTCTGCCGAGTGCTTTTGTCATTTGATAGTGGAGCGCATCATGAAACTAGAATTTGATCTGTTGTCACTAAACCCTTAAGGTGGGGAAAGTGAAAGGCCTTCCACGATTCAGACCCCAAATTCGGGTCTCAGGGTCAGCTGCCCTGGTCAAGAGAGGCCGAGTTCGTCAAATCCAGAAAAGTCACAGTCGGGTACCTCAGCAGTCCAGTCCGACAGGCACCCAGCAAACAGTCACATCTTAGGGCCAAGAGTCGCGTCTCATAATGAAAAGTCACATTGAAGAGTCACATCCCACGAGTAAAAGGGCAGTACCACAGGCAAGAGTCGTGACCCAGAGGCAGGAGTCACTGTCCACCCGCAGTCAAAACTCAGATTCACAAGTGAAAAGTCATGACTCAAAGGCCCAAGCAGCAGCAGTCCAAAGGCCAATGGAAATTCGGGAAGGTTCCAGGCCGTGACATTCAGAAGCAGACAGGCCGTGGGGATGTGGTACCAGAACCACTCAGGACCCAACTTGAAGAAACAGAGGTTGGGACGAGTTGAAGTGAAAACCAAGACTACAAAAGGACTGGCCAGCCTCTCGTTCGGGCAGATGGCTCATTCGCAAGAAGTGTGCAAGTGCTGGTGCACTTGTGCACTGTAGTGAGGGGTAGAGTGCTGAAGCCAGAACGCTGCGCTAAGAGAGAGAAAGAGAGAGAGAGAGGAAGAGATTGTGCTGGCAGGGAGGGAGAGAAAGGCAGCCATAGCTGCGCCAGTGCAGAAGTGTTAGTGCTAGTTGTTAGTAGTAGACTCCAGAGGGGTTAGTAGGGTTGACAGTGGGTGTATTCAGAGTAGATCTTTGAGTAGAAGTTAGTGCAAGTGTGCATGCATGTAGGGACAGAAGATACAGCGAGGTCATAAGCTAGGGAGAAGACCAGCAAGGAGGGGAGCTACAACAGAGAGAGAAGAGCAGGGAGGAAGAAGATACTTACCTGAGAGTTTGTGCTGCTTACTGATTACCTCTGGCATGCGCTGATGAGCGCTGGTGACTTGAAGAACTCTTATTGCTCTTGTGATAACTTGTTGGAATTCATAAGCTGCGCTACCTGGTCTTTATCTCTCTGATCTCCGGTGTGAACTTCGCGTGATCTCATACATGCATGTGGTGTGAATATGTGCGCTCACTGGTGTTGAACCTTTTTTTTTTTTTTTTAACAACGCACCCGTCGGTGCTAGTGGTGCTGGTAAAAGCAGACACCGACGGGTGCGTTGTTAAAAATAAAAAACAAAAAGCAGGGGAGGGCTCCATCTATTGGTGGGGAGCAGCACCTGCTGGTGTCGAACTAAGAGGTTCATTGCAAAAGCTGCAAAAGCAGGGGTTCGGAGAAATTGGCTCAGGTGTACTGATTGTGCAGGTAGTGTTATATTGAATGAAATGTCAGGCTTTTCTATCGGGCTGTAACTGTGCAGAGTCTGCAGACCCACAGTATTAGGCACGGTGACCCTCCTTGAGCAAGGGCACTGAGGAGTCATTCGTCGCGATTCAGTGTGATGA